CCAGCACTAGGCCACAGTGATGTGCGATGGTTTTGTTTAATGACCATTTCCTCCATTTCCCAAAATGGATCTTAAAGCCATTGTCCACTGTATTCTTTTCTCCTGAGGGACTCATTCATCAAAGGCCTTTTTCTAACTTTGTGATGGGGGCAAACATCATATTTGAAAAATTCAGTGTGTCCTTTTTAATTAGTTAATAAAAACCGAATATTCTATTGCAATTTTCTTCTTCTACCTTTCAACGCTTCCACTTCTCAGGGATCTACAGTTGGTTCTCCTCTCATTAATATCTTCCAAGCCAGATCAGTAACAATAGTGCTTTATAGGTCCTGGACCAAGTAACGTGGACTCTCTGGGAACCCACTGTGATAAGTGACTTAATCAGGAGCAATTGCAAGATCTCTGAGCTTCTCGCTGTGCTGTAGCCTATGGTGCCCACCTCCCTCTTCTTCCCACTTTACAGAATGAAAAGAAAATTTTACCTATAAGGTTGAACTTTGTTCTAGTATACCTTGATTATAACACCTCCGCTTACTCCATTGAAAGCCTTTTTGAAATTCTCCCTTTCTGTTCATATTTTCTTTTTCTTTTTCTTTTTCTCTTTCTTTCTTTCTTTCTTTCTTTCTTTCTTTCTTTCTTTCTTTCTTTCTTCTTTCTTCTTTCTTTCTTTCTTTTCTGTATTTTAGGGAAGGGACTAAATAATTCAGGGTCTTACTACTAGATCAGCCCCTTAATGATCTGCCTGTTTATAGCCTCCCAAGAGCTGGGATTACAAGCATGTGCCACCATGCCCAGTCTCAATTGCCTTTTTAGTGTGCCCCTGGGGCGGGACCAGCATGGCAAGTCCGAGGATCAAACCCCTGGCCCCTGTGCCAGCTTGTTGACGCTTTAATCTGCTGAGCTATTTGGCCGGCTCTTTCTGCCAATATTTTGTGATGATTTATACAATTACCTAAAAATTGGTCCCACTGACAGTATAAAAAATGAGAAAGTTCATGCAAAATTGCATTAGATCTGAATGGAATCAGGAATTCAGGAATGAGCCCACTCTGCCAGGCAGTTTGGACGGTGTCTGTTCTCTTCTGTCTCTGAAGTTGGAAAGAATGATCAGATATTTTCTCAAGATTTGCCAGAAGCTTCTAAATCTCCTTCCTTAAAAATGTTTTTAGAGCGGGCATGGTGGTGCACACCTGTAATCCCAGCCCTTGCGAGGCTGAAAACAGGAGAATCACTATGAGTCCAATCTGTGTAGTGAGACCCTGTAGACCTTGTACTAAACACATAATAAAAAAAGTTTCTATGTATAAAATCAGTTCTTCTGAGAACATAATTTAGTTAAATAGAATTTCAATTACAAAGAAAGCCAATTATAATAATTACATATGATCATTTAATAATCCTATATCAATATGACTTACAGTTATTTGGAGATTTATACAGAAGGGTCAGTAGCTGAAGTGATTATAAATTAACTTCTCAAAATCCAAATCCCATTGGTAGTACACTTGAACTGCTCTAGATTTTGAATTCTTAATAATGATCTCTCCAAGTTTTCCCCTTTTAACTTGAAAATTCCATTACAGTGTTCAGAGAATTGTATTTTAATCCTGGTCTGGACATCAGAGAGTCCTCGGCAATGGCTATTTCTGTAGCTATTTATTATGGTGCTGAGGCTAATGAGTTGAGCCAGTGAGGGTTGCAATTTAGTATAACTGCTCTGGTCCTCTCAGCAGATTAATCTTTCTGCCAAATTTCAGTCCCATACAAAATGAATTCGAGTACAGTGATGCTACAGTGACTTGGCATTCTTATGGAAGTGCCTCAAGGATGCTATTTTGATATTTAGTGAATCCATGCACAAGGTGAATTTTACAATCTTATTACAAGGAAGGTAATTTCAGTGCCATTAGAAGCAGCAGCATTGTCTTTATACATGAATAATAATACAAATTGCGAGCTATTATTAATTAATCAATGAAACGGTGCATGGAAAGGACCAGCCTGTAGAAGAGGAAATATGAAGAATGTGCAAACATGACAATGTTGACAATGGTGCTTAATGATCGACACCAGGCACTACGGAGTAGGCAAATTGCATTTGGATCCCAATCTTTGTCACTAGTTGGTAGTCATGTTTATTGACATGAAATTCTGTAAACAAATGACCTTCTATAATAAACAATATTCATGGGGGCCCAGCCCTAGCTCAGTTCTTTAAGTGGCTGCTTCCACAATGCTGGCAGCCTCAGTTTGCTGTAGTTCGATCCCCACAACACTCCAGCCATGCAAAAGTGCCCTGAAGGCATTCAAGGAGCAAAACACACACACACAAAAAAATTCCTTATTAAACTATTTCTGGCCCTCTTAAGCCTGCAGAGCATGAGACCAAGGGCGGCAGGAGCGGGATGGAGACAGCAGGGCCCTGTGGAAGCTAGCAGTGTGATGTGGAAGCAGCAGGCAGCAGCAGTGTTTTCCTGATGTGCTCAGCCCAAGGAAACTGTCAGACAGATGCACAGTGTAGACCTAGGGCCAGGAGAGCTGACAGGTTCTTTTTAGTCAATGCCACCAAAAAAAAAAAAAAAGAAAAAAAAAAGAAAACAACAAAAAAAAAACATGACAAAATGAAAGGGAGACATTTGGGTTTGCAAAACATTAATGACATACACCTGCATAGTGGTACCTGGCTTCATGAACTTTATTCTTGCCCTAATTATGGCCGCCAACTGAATTGGACAAGAATCAAATCGTATACCCTCAGAAGGTAAACATGGGTGCTAGCCACTGAATTTAGTGTCAAGCCCCATCAATCTGTCCCTGCCTTCCCTACCATCACTATTTTCTTTTTGTGGCTGCTCTTGAAGACAAGGACAAGCTGATGGGGCTGGCAGTTGTGATCTCTAGTTTTCAAGGCTGATTATTTTCTGTCTAGGTCTTATTTAGGGGGAAAATGGTACGTTAGTGATTTTGAAACACAAATTTCTTTTCATTTTTGTCCTCAGATTTGGAGGTCAAATTGACTTGTGTGTACAGAACAGGTCAGCTGCTTTCTAGTTCGTGGCCTACATTTGTTTGCTGTATGACTATTTGTTTGGGTTTAAACTCAGCCTAAGCATATAGACAAGAACACTAAGCAGCCAGCACATGTAGATAGTACCAGGTGCTTCCTGCCCCTTTCTGCCTTCACTTTGTCCATCACTCATTACTTCCTACTGGCCATGGTCATCTAGTGAAGGAGGATTCTACTGGAGCTCTCCTGGAGTACACACACTGTGCCCTCCAAAATTATGAAGCAGTGTCTAGGCAGGTGCTTTGAGAATGTGTAGACACCTTGTTCTCCAGTGTTTTCTTTAAAACCTGTTACCAGCTTGTGTCATCCCTACCTGTGTAATATCGTTATTCCTACATGCCTCCTGGCCATTCCTTAATGCAGTGTTTTCTGCTTAGTGGTTTTCTGGCCATCAGGTGAAAAAACACTGTGTCCTTAAATTTTAATTTCAATGCAAATTAATATTAACATCCATCATTAAACCATTTTTATTTAAAAAAAAACAATATTCATTTGTGAAGTGAAATAATAAGATTCCTCTATTTTATTTTTATTTTTATTTTTATTTTTGCATTATTGGCGATTGAACCCAAAACACATGCTCCTCGCACTGAATTACAATTCCGGCCTTTAAAAAAATATTTTGAGACAGGGATTTGTTAAATCCCTAAGTTGACCGGGCTAGGCTCTAAATTGTGACCCTCCTGCCTCTGATACCTAGAGTGCTAAGATTACAGGCATGTATCACCATGCCTGAAAATAATATTTCTTCCAAAAGACTGTTGAATAATGATTAAAAGGCCTAACACTCCTTTGTATGTCTTCTGAGCCTCAAGAAATAGTCTTTCATAATTTTTTTTTCTTGATCAGTGTGATACTAGACCATTTCATCAACGTTTTTCTACCAAATAATACAAGTTTAATTTCTCTCATCCAAACTTCTTGGGAGCAGAAATGATTTTGTATTTAGAATTTTTTTTTAACATAGGAATTTTGGATTTGGTTTTCTGGAGCTGTATGTGTATTTTCATAAATAATAACAACTAACAGATTGCAAAAGGAAAAGAGTCACAAAGCGAGAGCCTCCCGCTCTGCTGGCAGACACAAAACTGAGATCACAGTAGGGTCCTATGAAGTCCAAGCCTGGAACACTCATCCAGCTGGACTAAAGGATTTGGAGTACTGGCTCATGCCTTGTCTAATCCCTTGTATTTCCATCAAACTGGCAGAAAAGTGGTCTACAATTGGCAGACAATGAATGAGCAAAACAGGCTTGACAACCTTGAAGATTCTTTACAGGGCTGTGGTGTTACACTGTTTATGGAACTTACAAATTCCACTAAACTAGGCCTGCTCCAGGCAATATAAACAGAGTCACAGTATCATCAAGTGTGACTGTTCTCAACCTACTCTCCAAAGTATCTGAGAAATAAAAAGAAGACTTCATTTATGATCTATAGTAACCTTTCTTTTAAGAATTAAATTTTGTTACTATTCTTAGACACAAGATCAAAATCAAGCACCTGGATTTTGTAGATTATTTAGAGAAAGAAGCATAATGACACATCTCAAAACATAAAAAAGAGACAACTAACAAAATACTGGTTTGAAGACTATCATATAAGGGACTTCTACCCAAACAGATGGCAAGCAACAACTTATACCTGGTGGTCTACGTAAACGATATGAAACATTTTTTTAGCTCTCTGTTCTCTGCCTGTTTGTGCATTCTAAATATAGAATTTCAGTCTTCTTACTGACAGAAAAAGGAAGAAATCATTTACAAAGTGGCTCTGTTTCCATATACAGTTGATGGTACCTGCAAAATTACTGTTCCATTGGTTAAGCCAAAAACATACAGAGGTAAAATTTGTTAGAACTATATTTCCTTTTTCAAAACAAGCACCTTTTATTTTTCATTACAGGGTGAAAAAAAATCAGAAAAGTTACCTACCTGGGGAAGTTACAATGAGCTTTGTCCCTTCTCCAAATATCTTGATCCAACCTGATTCATCACAATGATCACAACTTTTACAAAAATAGCCAAAAGCTTAATGCCATCACCAGCAGTTTAACACTTTTGTCTTGTCAGTTCAATCTGGTGCTTCCTTTGGAAAAACCTTCAATACAGGTTTCGTGATGTCTGAGTTTGTAAACTTTTCAGTAAATTGACCTCAAACATTATGTTTGTGCTGTTCTAGAGACCACTGAGAAACTGTAAGGAAAATGAAAAAGATAAGAACAGAAAAATGACAGAGCTGGGCCAACTCGTTGACCTGCTACATTTCCTGTTACTGAGCCAAGGTTTCTGAGAATTAAGTCTGTCTTTCTCTCACTTTTTGAAAAATTCCCAGGTGTTCAGCTGTGTTGAAACTGCTCAGAAATTGCAACAAGAGAATGAGACTAATATGCACACAAACACCAGAACTTTCCTCAGCTATTTGGGAATAAGTTTCTGAGAGGAGGTCGCTCTTTAGTAACTGCGGATGTTCCAACATGTGGGGGGAAGGCAAGCCCAGGTCTCCACTTGGAAAACAGCCGCACTTACCCATTTAGTGTCATAATTCATTTTTGAGGCCAAGCAGAATGGGAGCATTGGTGCTGTGATCACTTATTATTTGAATTAGAGTGTAAAATGTAATCCAAGTTCTAAGATATGTTGAAAGAAGAAGCCTGCCAGAGGCAGTTCTGTGGGTTGGGGGGCACAGGAAGAAATTGTCAAGATCAGCCACTTCCTTCCCTAAGTGCAGGTAAGGTGCCCAAGCTGCAGCGACCAAGGAGAAAAGTGCTTGATGTTCCCCAGGTCTTCTACACAACACACACACACACACACACACACACACACACACACACAGTATCATGTTTAGTGTCAGAACAGTGTGGCCCCACACAACTACATTTTTGTTTGTATATATCAGCTTTAAAATAAATTTAGGAGACCCAGTCCTAGCCCAGGTCCGGTGAGTGTGTGGAGAGCTTCCTGCTACCCTGTGCCGGCGGGACCTGTCCCAGCCCAGGTGCAGCGTGGGCTGGACCCTCTCCCACCAACTTGGGCCGCCCCCCAACACTCCGCAGTACCTCCCCCACCCCGCCGCCGAATAGGAATTTCTGCCGTGTTCCGGGAACCCCCAGACCCAGTCCTAACCCAGGTCCTGTGAGTGTGTGGGAGAGCTTACTCTTCCCCTTACTTCACCTTGCCCCCTCCAGGCACAGCTCAGGCCTGGCATACATGCCTGGGGTGTAACCCTGCAGCTGCAATCCCTGCAGAGAGTATAGAGGATAGATCAACCCAGCTAGTCCAGGAGCAGAACATCTTGCCACAGGGGCACAACATATTCACCCTCAAGGGCAGCAGGGGGAAGGAGCTGATCACAGCAGCCAGACCTAAGCCAGACGCAGCTGGATAAGTACAAACTTTGTAGAGTTGCACCTGAACTTCAGTACGTGCGAAGGTTATAACTACACCAAGTTCTACAACAAAGGTCAGAAGACAGTGCTACACAAAATGGCAAGAAGGAACAAAATGCAACCTCAGAACCCAAGCCCACCCATAACAAGTACAGAGGACACTAACACAGAAAAAATTGGAAATCACACAGCTGAAAGCAATGAATCAACGGCTTCTGAAATAAAGAAACAGCTGCAGAAAGATATAGAAGACCTACCTCAGATTGGAAATAAAAAAAGAAATCCCTGAATTA